AAAAGCTCTTCTGTGATGCTAATAAATACCCATTTTAATTTTTACAGTTCATGGGTGAGTGTGTTAAGCAAGCAGGCACTTTGCCTCTAGAAATGGGTCTCAGGTTATATTTTACACTAATTTTTCTCTTAGTACATGTCATTTTTTGATTAACTAAAGCTAACCTATCAAAAGGATAACAACATTTATTAGTCTGAAACACTCCTGGGTATACAGGTTGGTTTTCTGTACAGCACTGCAACATGAATATTGCAACTAAGAATGTTTTGTTTTCCAATGTTTTATGGTCTTAATTATTTAATATGACCTCTTGTGTTTGTCCCCTGTGTTTTCTACACTTCCTAAAATAGATCTCTGTACTGGTTAAATACAAACATACTAATGTATTAAAAAAATTTTTTTTGAAAGACCAGAGAGATCTTAATAGCCTTTATTTTTTCTCTTTACATACATGACACCAGAGCTATTTAAAGGTATTTTAATGGGATAAAAAGCCTCTGATACCATCTGATAGATTTTAGGTTCTCTCCAGAGGTCTTGCTTTCAAAATAATCTCTTCTAATGGCTTGCCAACATTCACAGTCCCCACACTGCAAATTACATGCTATTTATATTACTTAATGCTAGAGCATGTATTTGTGGATGCCCCATCCCTGGAGGTGTTCCAGGCCAGGTTGGATGGGGCTCTGAGCAACCTGGCCTAGTGAAAGGTGTTCCTGCTCATTGAAGGGGGGGTTAGAACTAGCTGATCTTTAAAGTCTCTTCTAACTGTGCTATGATTCTATGATTCTAAAATAATAAAAATCTAACATTTTCATGTATGATTGGTTAATATTACTTGTACTGCTGTGGCTGAAAGTACTACTTTTGAATGTCAGAAAATATACAGTGAATGCCTGTAAATGTGTACATGAATAATGGGTTAAAGATTAATGAAAGCTGATTTGTTTATTTTTGTATTTCAAAATGGAGAGTAATGTAACAGCCATTAAATATCCCTACTATTATTTACATATAAGTCCAAAGCCTGAAAGCAATTATTGGGCATAATGCATACTAATAAAGAAATCAAATGGCACAGAAATTAATTATTTGATTGCAAGTGAAAAAATGAGGTTTATGAACAAGGAAACAGTGAAAACAAATCAATGAAATACCAAATACTGTAGCAGTACTTAAATTAAAAATGCTGATAGTATCTGCCAGCATTGAGGAAATCATGAATAAGTAGCAGGAACACAACCACTACAGTGAACCCAAATGTGAAGGGCAGTAATCTAATCAGAGCTAGTACCACATCGTGCCTGATCCCCAGTGCAAATGAAAAGTATTCTGTTAAAAGGACTTTAATTACACTAACAGCTCCCAAGTATACCTGTGCACATATGTTCATATCCCTGTAGGTATACATACAATTATCTGAAAGAGCAATAAATATCCTAAAATATCCTGATACATGCAATGTTTCCTGTTTTGGGTTTTCCCTAGAGCTGTCTGTGTGATGTACTGTGGCACTTGTCTCCTCATACACCAGATTTCTTTTCAGGAAACCTTTCTTTGTTCAGGTGCACTTACACAGGCATGGCCACCATGGCTCTCACTGACCTGGCCTTTTGTCCCAACAAATGCCCTGATGGATCATTTTGACAGTAAAAATTCATGCCATAATCATGAAATCTTTTTAATACAATTCAGTTTGCTGTAGTGTAGCTAACCGTGCCTTTTTGAAAGTTTCTGCAAAATAAAAGAGGGTCTCTCAACATAAGTAAGCAGATGAAAAAGAAAGTTAGTGCTTTGGATGAAGGAAAACATTGTAAGGGAAGCTGAATTTTTGTTCTCCTGTGTACTTATTAAATGTAATTGTTTCTCACAGTGTAAACTTTCAAATAATCAGAGTTTTAGTAAAAAAATAAAATATGCATGGATAGATTTTCAATGTGAAATTAATGAAATTAATAAGGCTGCCCCACTGAAAGCCAGGGTAGATGAGAGGGTGGGGACTGCAGGGGAGATTCCTCCTCAGAGAGAAGGATGATATAGTAAGAGATGTTTGCCAATCTGGAATGCTGAGTACTCACTGGAATAAAAGACTTCCTTCTTGGCTGCTGTTCGAAAAATGTGCATTTATTTGACAATGGAAAGGGTACATTTGTGCTCCTCATCACAAGACCTGAATGATCAAGGCTCTGCACGAGGATGGACCTATGAACCACGTTCCTAAGAACCAGCTGCACCTAAGGAAGAGCCTGTTTCTCCCATCTAGCACAGATACATTGTGGATGCCCCATTCCCAGCAGTGCTCCAGCCCAGCTGGATGGGGCTCTGAGCAGCCTGGCCTAGTGGAAGATGTCCCTGCCCATGGCAGGGATTAGAACCCGATGATGTTTATGTTCCCTTCCCACACAAACCATTCTGTGATCCTCAGTTCCAACATCTGTACTGTATTAACTGGATTATGGTGTCATGCGATGTGAAAATGCGTATTTTATGATTGGCTTTTTGTAAATATTAAAATTATTATTATATGTGTAATATTAAAAAGTTATGCTGTATTAATTATTTTAAGTAGTGTGTTAAATATAGTTTTAGGTTATAACAATGTTAAAATAGAAACTATGTATGTGGGATATTTTTTTAAGAAAGGACTGAGGTACTTGCACTAGATAGCAGCCACAGGACACCTAAATCTTTCAGAGGAAGAGAATTTATTGCCTCTTATCAGAAGAAACCAACTTCTCCCCAGCTCGCTCAGTTCTGAAAATGCCGTCAGGATTAAGAGGAGGAAGTTGACACTGACCAGACAGAATCCTGTGTTTGAATGGAATTTATGCATTATGTATGAGGTGTATGAATATTCCACAGGCTATTGTTTTTAAAGGTTAATCCTCTGTTCACGTGTGTCTTTTTCTGGGCTTATTTTGCCCAGAAAAAGGTACCTGGACCATCCATAACTCTTTGTTCTTATTGTCTCGTATTGTCCTAAATACTAATTGTCCAAATTATTATTACTCTAATTATATTTCTGTTCTTAGAAACATTTTATTACTATTAAACTTTTAAAATTTTAAAAACAAGTGATTGGCGGTTTTCACACAAGGATGGACCTGTAAACCTTGTTGTGAGGAACCAGCTGCACCTAAGGAAGAGCCGGTTACTCCCATCTAGCCCAGCTAAATTGTGGATGCCCCATTCCCAGCAGTGCTCCAGCCCAGCTGGATGGGGCTCTGAGCAGCCTGGCCTAGTGGGAGGTGTCCCTGCCCATGGCAGGGGCTGGAACCAGATGATGTTTAAATTCCCTTCCAACACAAACCATTCTGTGATTCTGTGATCCTCAGTTCCAGCATTTGTACTGAATTACCTGGATTATGGTGTCATACGAGAACGTTTATCAGAAGCCAAAAATACAATGAATGTTTATTGTTTCTCCTAAAGGAGGACAAAACATAGGTGCGAGCCCTAACAACAAGCGGGTAGGAAGGTGGGAAACACAGGGCTGAAAAAAACCCCTTTTCCGCTGTTACCAGCGTTTGTTTCCGAAGGAATCTGTTTTCTCCACGCCGGT